CTTGCTAAGAGAAGGGTGATTAAATCTTGTGTTTCTAAGCATGAAATGACGGTCAGAAAGGACGCATCCCCCTGTGTTCTCCCCCAGTATCCATGAATTGCATTCATGCTTAGCTGGGGGTGTTACAGTAGCTTCTTGTCTTCTTCTGAAGCATCAGGTACTGTCTGCTGCTGTGGAAGGAACATCGGGGGCCTGTGGCAAATCGAGCATTCCTATTCAGCAGCCCAAGCCTCTGGAGCCATGATGTACTAGTGACCTGGGCATCTGAGAGCCATGACTGTAGCTACATTGAACCTCCCTCCTGGCTTCAGGGGAATTACAGGGGTGGATGGGAAGGAAGCAGCTGCCCTTGTTCCATCCCAGAACATTGAGGCAGATGTGTCTCCCAGATCTTACCCATGATTTGCTTCCACTTGCTTCCTTCACTACTCCCATCCCCTCTAAGGGAGCCAGGGACAAAGGCAGCCTTGTTTGTAAGCCAGTGGCAAGGGCTATGCCAGCCGCTGACCTAGCGTTAGGCTGAATAGCCAGACATCAAAGCTCCTGGGACTCCTACTGTTTGTAGCATACTTAAGCCATGTTTGCGCAAGAGGCCTTGACATTTTTTTGGGTAAACACCAATCAAGTCCTTAGCGTGCAGTGTGCCAGCACCTGGTGCTTGGGCCCTGGGAGTGGGAGATGGAAAAATCCATTGTTTGCCCTGAAGCTTTTAGAAAACTCTGATGTTTCAGCTCCAAGTACAAAAAGTGTAGAAAAACCTGCCTGTACGGGGAAATTTTTCCTACCCCAGAGGAGCAATATCAATCGGCAATACAAGAGGGTAAAATCACAGCTCATCTCTCTCTGGGGTGGAGATTTTCTTTTCCCATGAGGAAGTTTCTTAGTGCAGTGGCCAAAATAATGGGGAAGTGATTGGAATGAAAAGTAGAGAGAGAGAATCTTGCAAGAAGAGTTGAAGGTCAGAGGTGCAATCCAAATACTGATCTTTCTCCCACACACCTCCCTTCAGGTCTCTACATAGCTCCCCACCATTGTTCTTGTCCTCACCTGTAATAGTGAAATAAGATGACATATTGTTAATGCAGTGCTGAGGTTGCAAAACCAAATACTTGGAAGCCTGGAAATTCCAGAAGTTAAAGGGACCCCAACTTGGGATCGGATCAGTTTCAACATAGTGGGTAAAAAGTCACTTCATGTCTTCCAATTTTCGGAGGTTGTGCCAAGCTCTTGTTCCCATGCCATAAAAAATACCTTCGACGTGTGAAAGACTCCTAGGAACAGGGGACGTGGTTAAAACTGGCTAGAGACACATTGCTGAATACACAACATAAAGACTTCCCCCTCCTCTTCCCCCCCCCCCATTTATTTCAGTTCTCGGAATCATAAGGTTTGCCTGAAACAATGGTGGTTAAAACACATGAACAGAAGTACAGCTTTTAAGATGATGCTGTCTCTCTAAGGCTTTTGTTGCATTTTTAATTCTCTCTCACAGGGTCACTCGCCTGGTATATTTCGCTGCCTTACCAAAGGTAATCTTTCCTCTAATGTTGTTTGTTTTTTCAATGCTTAGCCTGTAAGGATATGCTCAGCATTCCTAGGATTTGCAGTGTGGTATAGGGTGTATTCAGCACAGTGTATAATGATACACAATTATACCTTGTTTTGGAGTTATAGGGCCAGACTTTTAAATGGTGACCTCCCTTTTTGTGCATTCAATTACGATATTAAGTGTAATTTAGGCCACTCGGATGTCTAAGTCTCTAATAGCACCTGCTAATTGCGTGCTGAGATGTCTTATGATCTAAAGTGTGCTCTGGTTTGACTTCCCTTTGGACTCTTTCTTTATGGTTATTTGTTGTTGTTAACAGCAATGGCCAGGATTCTTTTCTGTAGCTCTTCTGACTTCAGCCAGAGCAGGAGTTGCTTAATGCTACAAACAGGCCACTAGAGTTTACAACAGATGCCTTTGTTAGTTTTATAATTCCCAGTATCTCTTCTCTAATGATTAGCTTATGCAAATTGTGTCCCATGGGGGAGGTCCAGTTCAGGCTAATCTAAAAATCAGGGTCATCAAAACTTAACATTAGAGCCCTGTGCAGATACACATTGTATCTGCATCTGCTCTGCAATCCGCAAACATGGTCTGTGGGTATAAAGCAGATACCTGCAGATTTGCAGGGCTCGAGATATAAAATGTGTAGCTGCACCCATCCGCGATCTACAAACATGGACAGCCATGAGGTTGTCCACAGATTTGCAGGGCTCTACTTAACATTATGCTACACTTGTTTGTGGAGCGCGGCAGAGTGAACACTGCATGTTTTTCCCACTGTTCTAGTCTTTGTAAATAAAACAGAGTAGGGAAGGAAAAGGATTTCCCTACTTTTTTCTGGTTGTTTACTCTCGGCCTTGGACAGTTCTCTGTCAGGTCAGGTTTTTCCTTTCTAATCAGTTTTCTCTGTTTAGGTGAAGTTACTAGGGCTCCATGAGGCTCTGCCCACTTGGATCCGACTGTGGGGTCAGGGTTGTATATTGTGCCTGTGTGAGCCTGATTCTGCTCTGACTAAAGACACCAACAAATGCACTGCCATTGTCTCCATTAGCAAGTGAGCTGGCTCTGTAGGTGGCCAACAGCTTAGCACAACTTTTTGCTGTACATATGTACACTCAGTGCTGCATTTTCAAACATTCATGACTGTTCAGAACCATTCTCCCCACCACACATGTGCATGCACAGAACATGCCTTCATGCCCCCTGTCATAAATATAAAGAGAAGGGTAAACACCTTTAAATCCCTCCTGGCCAGAGGAAAAATCCTTTCACCTGTAAAGGGTTAAGAAGCTAAAGGTAACCTCGCTGGCACCTGACCAAAATGATCAATGAGGAGACAAGATACTTTCAGAGTTGGAGGGTGGGGACGACAAAGGGTTCTCTCGGTCTGTGTGATGCTTTTGCCGGGACCGGAGCAGGAATGCAGGTCAGAACTCCTGTAAAGAGTTAGTAAGCAATCTAGTTAGATATGCATTAGCTTCTGTTTTGTTTAAATGGCTGATAAAATAGGCTGTGCTGAATGGAATGTATATTCCTGTTTTTGTGTCTTTTTGTAACTTAAGGTTTTGCCTAGAGGGATTCTCTATGTTTTGAATCTGATTACCCTGTAAGGTATTTACCATCCTGATTTTACAGAGGTGATTCTTTTACTTTTTCTTTTCTTTTGAGAACCTGATTGCTTTTTCATTGTTCTTAAGATCCAAGGGTTTGGGTCTGTGTTCACCTGTAGAAATTGGTGAGGATTCTTGTCAAGCCTTTCCCAGGAAAGGGGGTCTAGGGCTTGGGGGGATATTCTGGGGGGGGAGACGTTTCCAAGTGGGCACTTCCCCTGTTCTTTGTGTAACACTTTGGTGGTGGCAGCGTCTTAACCTAAGCTGGTAAGAATAAGCTTAGGGGGTCTTTCATGCAGGTCCCCACATCTGTACCCTAGAGTTCAGAGTGGGGAAGGAACCTTGACACCCCCCCCCTTCCCAAACTTTGCCAAGCATATGCTGCTCATTAAGACCTATTGAGACACCAGAGCCCTGATCTTGCACAGGTAGAATCCAGTTGACTTCACTGGGGCTCTGTGTGGGTGCAATGACTGGAACAATTTCAGCTGTTTTGAACTAAGCCCTAAGGTGGGGGAAAGAGAGCTGCTTTTTACAGTGGGAGGAAGGAGTGTGTGAGCTCGTCGTCCTGTTATTCCGCAGCCAAACGAGTTTTTCTCAAATTTTGCCTCAGGTGAACTTGTATGAGACCAAGCCTGGAAAATGTCAGCCCAAAAGCTGACTGCTTTGGAAAGCTGCTTGTACATGTGGAAACAGAAGGTTAGAATAAAAATTGTTACCTATTGTGTGGCAGTTGCTGCTGGTGAGACCACTGTAATATATAACTTACCGAGAGCTGTAAACGTTCAAAGCACTGCACAAATACTGACCTTTAAAGCACCCAGCTCTGTAGCTGGCCTCATTTCTTCTTATGCCCCATCCCTCTCCTTATTGAATGCTCCTGCCTTTCCTACGTTGTTACTGATAATTCTACCTTAGCCTGCATTCAGGCTTCTCCTAACCGTCTTTTGCCCTCTTCAGACATATCTCCTCTACACATGGAACAGATCCGCCCCTCGGGTCCAAGTTTTCCAAGCCTTCTGCTCTGGGAGGTCTAGTGGGGCTAACCTCAGAATGTGTCTCTTGTCTGCTCCTGGTGGTGGTAATGCTGTCTCTGGTATGGCGGCTGGAGACTGTAAGCTCTTTGAGGCAAGGACCTAGTAATTTATCAACCTATCTGATGTAGCTTTGCCCCTGGAAAGGGCTTTGCACGCTTATGAGTGGGAGTTTTCAAAGTCGCCTAAGTGACTTGGGCACCCAAGATCCTGCAGTGAAAGTCCAATGGGACTTGTGTGCATAATTCACTTAAACAGATTTGAAAATCCAGGCTGTAAAAATAAGACTTCCCCATTCCCTGAAGAGTTGGATCCATTGCTAAAAGAAACCAGGCTAGACCCAAAGCCGTTCCCATGTGCTGGCTGTTCAGGGAGCTGTGTGATGTGAAATGAGCTGGTGGCCCCAGGTGAGTTCCTGGTAGATAAGTCGTTTTTGCCTGAGAAGCCCACCATAACTGAGCACCTTACTGGGAATCTCACTTGTGGCCAAAAATCAAATGGGCTATAAAGCATGAGCTCCTCCCTCCCTCTTTCCAAGAGGTAGTTCCTTTGGGCCAGCTTTGAAGCACAATGGCAGGGTAGAGTGGGGGAAGTTTGCCCTGCTGCTACTTGTGCTGTACAGATCCTACAACAGATAGGAGAAGGGGCAAGATGGGGTCATCCTAAGAACTAGGTATGGGCAGATCAAACAGAATCAGCAAAAGAAACCCATGTGTGGGCTCTTCCAAATGGCCATCTCCATGATAGATGATCCTGGGTTTCTTTTGTACATTTCACTCACTGCTGACTGCTCTTTTCTTCTAGAGTCCAGGAAAGAGGTGACTCTCCCCTTCCGATTGAAGAATGGTCGTGTTAAGGCAGTTTGGGTTGCTTCTCTGGAAGAACTACATTTTGCAGGTACTTTCACGCTGGGCTTTCTGTGCGGAGGAGAATAGATGATTGTGAAGATGAGGCTAAGCGAATCATGGCTTTAGCCATCTAATGTACGAAGCTTCAAATGAAGTCACTTCTCAAGACCCTCCTGATATGTCTTCAAGCTCCAATGAACCTTAGTCGTTAGGGCAGGACATCATCGAGAGGAGAACTTCTCTGGATTTGTTTGAGTGTATGCATGAGGGAGGCGGGGTGGTTTGGTTTTTTGTCATGCCCCTTCCCCCCATCCCCCATTTACCAATCCTTGTCAGTTAAATCAGGGCTGCCTGTTGATTTTTTTGGTTCTTTGCAATCTGCTCCAAATACAGTCTGGGGTACACAATCTAGCTGTCAGCTGGTCATTGAATTTATTAGCTCTGCAAGGCTAAGCCGCGAGACCAGGGCAGCTGGATGCTGCTTGTTTCTTTCAGCCTTTCAGACACTTCGAATTTGACATTCGTTAGTTTCCAGCCGCTGAAATACTAATCAGGGAGCACTATTTTAAATGCCCGATCTCTCAGTTGCTTTTATTTTTGGGGAGGGGAGGGACTCCATCCATCTGGCATGCAGCCCACACCCACCCAGCTGGCATGTTGCCCAGGGCATCTGATCCGTGTTCCATCCTGCTTTGCTCCCGAACTCTGTGTGTGCTCCAGGCAGAGCAGAGCACTGACTGGAAGCTGCTGACCAAGCTCACCAGGGGCGTGTATTTTTTTTTTTTTTGTGCATGGCCCATACTCCCAATCCCTGTTCTCCACCTACTACCCTCTCATTGCAACTCTCTCCCACAACCCTGCTGTGTGTGGGCATTGGGGAAGCAGCACTAGGTGGAGAGCACTGGGATTGGTTAGGTGACAGGGTTTCATTCAATGATTGAAAGGGGCACTGGCTGGGGGAAGCGGCTAACCCAATGATCCTGTAGAAAGATTCATCTCACTAAAAGTCTCTTTGTTGTTACGTTCTGTCTGAAGAGGTGATACAGAAGCTCCGATAGAGCTGGTCCATGGGAAGGCAGTAGAGGGGGAGCATGAGTCTGTCCATGTCTAGACATGTTGGTAACTCTAAGAATGGTTCTTGGCACTGTAACCCTTGGAGCTCATGTTGGGAGAAGAGTGAATGCGAGGCCCAGCCCCACCTCGCCACTATCCAGATAGACCCTGCAGTGGCTGTTGAAAGAGGGAGAGGACCTCTGGCTTTCCACCCATCTGGCCTTGGCTGCTGCCTGCCTCTTGAGTACGAACGGCTCGGTGCCGATTCAGCTCTGCCCCTCGCTGACAAAGCTGCCTGCCTCTTAGGATTGAGGTGAGGCACTGGACCAGCGGGAGGGGAAGGCAGGTTGGGTTAGATCTGGCTCCATTCAAGAGGCCTGATTCAGCAGCACAGAGCCTGTCTCTTCCTTGATGGAGCACCCTGTCAGCCCAGCTATGTTTCTACAAACTGGGCAGCAATGAGAAGCGTAAGCTCCTTCAGGCTGACTGATGAGCGAAGGGTTAATGGGCCATCCATCAGACATCAGTTCAAACGTCGCTTAGCTCCTTTGGCCTCTTGCTGATTTGGGGCCACATAGAATCATAGAATATCAGGGTTGGAAGGGACCTCAGGAGGTCATCTAGTCCAACCCCCTACTCAAAGCAGGACCAATCCCCAACTAAATCATCCCAGCCAGGGCTTTGTCAAGCCTGACCTTAAAAACTTCTAAGGAAGGAGATTCCACCACCTCCCTAGGTAACGCATTCCAGTGTTTCACCAGCCTCCTAGTGAAAAGTTTTTCCTAATATCCAATCTAAACCTCCCCCACTGCAACTTGAGATAGTTACTCCTCGTTCTGTCGTCTGCTACCACTGAGAAGAGTCTAGATCCATCCTCTTTGGAACCCCCTTTCAGGTAGTTGAAAGCAGCTATCAAATCCCCCCCTCATTCTTCTCTTCTGCAGCCTAAACAATCCCAGTTCCCTCAGCCTCCTCATAAGTCATGTGTTCCAGTCCCTTAATCATTTTTGTTGCCCTCCGTTGAACGTTTTGCAATTTTTCCACATCCTTCTTGTAGTGTGGGGCCCAAAACTGGACACAGTACTCCAGATGAGGCCTCACCAATGTCGAATAGAGGGGAACGATCACGTCCCTCGATCTGCTGGCAATGCCCCTACTTATACATCCCAAAATGCCATTGGCCTTCTTAGCAACAAGGGCACTCTGTTAACTCATATCCAGCTTCTCGTCCACTGTAACCCCTAGGTCCTTTTCTGTAGAACTGCTGCCTAGCCATTCGGTCCCTAGTCTGTAGCAGTGCAAGGGATTCTTCATCCTAAGTGCAGGACTCTGCACTTGTCCTTGTTGAACCTCATCAGATTTCTTTTGACCCAATCCTCTAATTTGTCTAGGTCCCTCTGTATCCTGTCCCTACCCTCCAGCATATCTACCTCTCCTCCCAGTTTAGTGTCATCTGCAAACTTGCTGAGGGTGCAATCCACACCATCCTCCAGATCTTTAATGAGGATATTGAACAAAACTGGCCTGAGGACCCTTGGGGTACTCCACTTGATACCAGCTGCCAACTAGACATGGAACCATTGATCACTACCCGTTGAGCCTGACAATCTAGCCAGCTTTCTATCCACCTTATAGTCCATTCATCCAGCCCACACTTCTTTAACTTACTGGCAAGAATACTGTGGGAGACCGTGTCAAAAGCTTTGCTAAAGTCAAGGAACAACACGTCCACTGCTTTCCCCTCATCCACAGAGCCAGTTGTCTCGTCATAGAAGGCAATTAGTCAGGCATGACTTGGCCTTGGTGAATCCATGCTGACTGTTTCTGATCACTTTCCTCTCCTCTAAGTGCTTCAGAATTGATTCCTTGAGGACCTGCTCCATGATTTTTCCAGGGACTGAGGTGAGGCTGACTGGCCTGTAGTTCCCAGGATTCTCCTCTTTCCCTTGTTTAAAGATGGGCACTACATTAGCCTTTTTCCAGTCGTCTGGGACTTCCCCCGATCGCCATGAGTTTTGAAAGATAATGGCCAATGGCTCTGCAATCACATCCACCAACTCCTTTAGCACTCTTGGATGCAGTGCATCCGGCCCCATGGACTTGCGCTCGTCCAGCTTTTCTAAATAGTCCCGAACCACTTAATAAATACTGCCTACCCCGGCCCTGAACCTTTCCTAAATAGGAAAGGAACCACCTTTCCTATTCTCCTGTGACTCACCACCCAGATATGCAGAGGCACAGAGCCTGCCCCCGCAGTGGGGGTGGAATCTGTAGCTTGTTTTTACAATTTAAAAACCATGAAACAATTGCAGATCAGCACTACATGTTTGAAGTAATCACAAACTCACTGGTCTGTGATGAGGAGTCCTCGGCACTATGGCAGTGGTCACCAACTGGTCGATCGCAATCAACTGGTCAATCCTAGAGGGTTTCCCAGATGATCGCGATCTCCGGCGGCACAGTGTGGCTACTGCTAAGACAGATTCCCTGCCTACCCCGGCCCCGTGCCATTCCTGGAAGCAGCCAGTGCAGCCCCAAGGGTGGGGAGCAGGGGTCTCTCTCTGCATGTGGCTCCTCTCTGCAAGCACCGTCCCTGCAGCTCCCATTGGCCGGGAGAGCTGCGGAGGCAGTGCTTACAGAGGAGCAGCGTGCAGAGCCACATGGCCCCCTGCCACAGGGGCGCATTGGCCCCTTCTGGGAGCCACCGGAGGTAAGTGCTGCATGGTGGGAGGCAGCACTCCAACCCCCATCCCTGAGCCCCATCCTGGAGCCGTCACCCTGAGCCCCCTCCTGCATCCCAAGCCCCACCCTGAGCCCCCTCCCAGAGTCAGCACTCCAAACCCCTTCCTGCACCCTAGCCCTGACCCCCTTCCCAGAGCCACACTCTGCACCCCCTCCTACACCCCCAACACTCTGCCAGAGCCCCCTCCTGCACCCAAACTCCCTCCTAGAGCTTGTACCCCTCACGCCCTGCCCCAGGCTCAGTCCAGAGCCCCCTCCCACACTGCGAACCCCTCGGTCCCAGCCCAATGAAAGTGAGTGAGGGTGGGGGAGAGCGAACGACGGAGATAGGGCAGGATGGAGTGAGCAGGGCAGGGCTTTGGGGAAGGAGCAGGGTAGATCTTGGGTTGTCCTTAGACTCAAAAAGTGATCTTGGGCATAAAAAAGGTTGGAGACCGCTGGACTACGGGGATGCAGCTAGTGTCTTATCCTGACGGCCTTACCACATCATGGAGGGCTGGAGCCAGCGGCCTGAATGAGGGGACTTCATTTTGTACTTGCTTCACTTTCCTCATCTGTTGTTCTTAGTGCTGGGAGGCAGCATGGTCTAGTGGATAGAGCACAGGCCTGGTTATGTAGCTTTGTACTTCGGACGTTCCTGCAGAATGAGAGACATTGTACTCAAAGCAAACATCTTCGGGGGGTGGGTCACGCCTGGTCCTGGGTTTGTATGTGTCTTCAGAGACTCGGGAAATGCCTCTCTGGGCTTAGTTCCCTCTAATAGGAACCTGACTGGCCTGAATCAGCCAAAGGGCTGTGTTTCTCCCTGGCCTCCCAGTCAGGGAAAGTCGCTCTGATTGCAGAAATGAAACTTGCAAGTGATTAGCAGGCCAGTTAAAATGGCTGTTGTCTGAGGGCTAGTTCTGTGTGTGGAGCTGGGTCCATGTCACTGGCTTAGCAACTAGACAATGATAACTGAGACGCTGGTTGCTGCTGAGAGATGGCCGCATCCCTGTAGCCTCCTGAGCTAGCAAGCTCTGTAGTCGTGCAGTCCTGCAACTGGCAGTGTATCTTGGCTTCTGTTTATGGAGCCGGATGATGATTTTGGACAAAGTCCAGAAGGCAGTTAGAGGGTCAATACAATGATGATGCCCTGGGAGGCAGCCTGCCTGCCAGGGGAATGTTGTAAAACTATCAGACAATCACAACGCTGACTCTGAGCATGGCCTCTGAAACACTCCTCCATCATACAGGGCCAGATCATACTGGGTGTAA